CACAGGCCCTCTCATTCCCATCAGGAAGGGGCCCTGTGTGTGGTGTGGGCCCTTTCGTATTTATTACTAACCTTTAAGCAGCAACGGCCAGCACAGAGATGCTTGGAGCGATCAGGACTGCAGGCGACTGCGACGAGCCTGGCACGGCTGCCCTCTAATGTCAGTCATCAGGGATCCTGAATAAGACCAAGGTGCTGTCCCTGGGCAGTGCCAGGCTTTGATCCCGAAAGCGAGGTTCCCTAGGGCATTTGGGGCAGGGCCAGCATGAAATGGGGCCACTGGTTCTGACTGGTTCCAGCCATGCATTCCTGGCTCTTGGTGCCCTGCAGACAGGACAAGAGCAGAGCACAGCTGCCTGGAGACAGGGAGTCCGGCAGCGCTTTCCCACTCTCAGATGGACCCCAACATCAAGTGACCTTCTGATCTTGGAAAAGCAGCGTCTTCCTTCTTTACCTGTAGCAGCTCACGGGTAGCAGGCGAGCACTTCTTGGACCTGGGCCCTTCACAGTGTGGCTGAGTTTTGCTACATGACTGGTTGTGAGACTTGCTCAATCACTGTGAATCAGCCTCCTCTTCACCCTCCCAGTCCATGTGTTTTCTAAGTGAGACACTTAAACACTGTCTCCCAGAAACTGAGTGTTTTAGGACGTGGGACCTCCATGCTGGGCTCAAGGGGATCCACCATAGAAACTGGCCCTGTCTCTATGCTCAGTGACTCTCCATTTCAAGGTTTAGGTGGATGGGTGTGTGGCATCCCTGGCCCATCTGTCACGTAAGCCAGTGAGTGTATTGTCAGCGTGGGTCACCTTTTCCCAAAAACACTCAGACTTGTTGTATGGTGGAAATGGAGCGTATTAGGATTCTCTCAGTAACACTCCCTCTGAGAAGCCACAGTCATGTTTAAGTCTCTCTAAGGCTCAGCTTGAGTAATAAAATAATCCAAAAGGCACAGAGCACAGGCTAACTCCGTGTCACACAAACAGCTCAGATTACAGATTATTCCACTTAATTCTCCTTGGCTCATCTACCAAAAAAAAAAAAAAAAAGATGTGTTAGAGTTGGGGTGAAATATCTTAAATGAAAATAGAAATCATGTCTTAAAGCTTTTAAATGAGTCATTGGGCCTCCTTAGTGACTGAAGTCTAGTGGGTGGGTCTAGATGGGGCCTAATCGGGATGGCAACCAAATCCTGGTTTAGGACTAAAGAGGCTCTAGTATGCTGTGACACAGTGCTCTAATGCCTGCGGAGCAAAGATACTTGTGTGTGTTGTAAGAAAAAGATAGAGGAAGAGACCTTCCTTGGTGGGGTTATTTTATGTCTAAGCACAGAGTTTAGACTAATTTACATTACTTGCTGATTCTGTGGCCCACCATGGTGTCCCTGGGATCCCACATGACTGTGTGTCCTCAGCCCAGTGCCTGGAAGAGCCACGCTGTCCAGAGCATCCTGTCTTGGAATTCTTTCAGCTACCAAGTCAGATGCCAAGGTTTAGGCCAGGTGTCACAAGAATCACAAGGACATGTCATTTCAGTCCCTTTAGTGTGCTTTGGCCTCTTGCTCAAGAAGAGCTGATTCTAAGCTGGCCTCTGGGAAGTCCATACTTCTTGGTCACCTTTCCAGTCCAGAGGTATCTGCTGGCTTCATTTTACCCTGGTCTTTAATAGCTGGCAAGTGTCTTGCTACTTTCCATGCCTTTCTGGAAATCCTTCCTGCCAAGGAAAGCCTTTCGGCCAGAGAGGCTTTGCCTTCTCTCTGCCATCTTGGGTCCTCCAGCAACCGCACTGCCTGTAGCCTAGGAAACCACCACCATGGAGCCTGCCAGCCATCAACACAGCAAAGCTGTTTACTGCTCAGTTCCTTGTCTCCCAGGTCCAGACCAAATATAGGACCAGTAGCTCTCAATGGTGTCACTGCCTGCCGTGCCCAGGCACCAAAGCAACAAGGTAGGATTGGTTAGATGCTGGTAAACCCAAACCCAGGAGATCTTCCCAAACACGTGTTTCAGCTGACCCTCAACTACCTCAGGTTTGAAGGCCCTGAATTAAGCTGGTTACCACTCATAGGGACAAACCGAGGGGGTTTGGTTAAATCTAGGTCATAACACAAACGTCTCAAACCTATAACAAATTCACATTTAGGTTTGCAGGGATGGGATTGGGTTGGTTTTTCTGTTTTTAACCTCTTTCCCCAATTCTCCATTAGAATAGTCCCTACAAATAAATTGCATTTTTCACTAAGTGTCTGCCTTCCCAAGGGCAGGTAGCCACTGACTTTTGTCTCCTTCCAATGATACTTTTGTTATGATATTAAGACCTCTTTGTATAATACATTGCATCTGTGTTTTCAATTTTTCAAATAAATATTTCAGGCTGTCAATGGGGGATAACAGTGATAATGGGTCACAGTGGCCCTGAGGTCTGGGCTCCAGAGAAAAGCCTGCTGGTGTGTCCTAAGATTACTGGAATCCACTTAGCTCTGTGCCTTGGGGACATTTACTGGAATACCCTCTGTACTGCCTTTGTGCATGGCCCTATGAGACTGCTCCAACACTGCCAAAGTGGTCACAGCTGATTTATCCAGAAAGTCAAGTCTATAAAATCTGGCTATTCCCTCCTTATCCTGAAGATACAAATGTAACCTGCTGCCTTAAAATTATATGTGACATGGGGCTGGGGAGATAGCTCCACAATCTAAGTGCCTGCCTGCCAAGCTCAAGGACCTGGATTCAATCCCTGGTACTGCATGCTGTGCCAGCCCTTCACTGAGGTGTCCACTGAAACCAGAGGTGGTGGCCTGTGCCTATAATCCCAGTGCTGGGGAGGCTGGGAGACAGGAAGATCACTTTAAGCCTGAGCTGCATAGCAAGGCCCTGTACCAAATTTTTAAAAATTACATGTGACTAACTCGGCTCAAGAACAGCAGTTATCACAGGATTTGCAGAGGCACTAAGGATGGGGCTGGTTTGCAGAGTGATCTTTCCGAAGCAAGGCAGGCTTCTTGCAGACAAGGAGACCCCTAGGCTCACTCAGACGGGTAAGGGCTGGAGCTGGTCCACAGGAGTCCCTGTTTGGCCAAGGTGGCCCCTCAAGGTGGGCCAGAAAGGTGAGTAACCGGAAGCTAGAGCCTGTGAGGAGGGCAGCAGTGTAGACTCTGGCCTGTGGCTTCCCCGCATCCGGTAGCAGTGCCACAGTGGCCCTGCCCGCTCTGGAGCACTGCTGCTGCAGTGGACAGTTTTTGGTTGCAGTGGCCCTGTGGGTTGTTCTAGATCTGCACTGTGAAGCTAAGGAGCCCAGAAAGCCACACAGCAGGACTGTCCTAGGCCTTGCTCTCCCATAAGATGGCACTGACACTGGCTGTGTCCCTCCCCCACCTGAACCTGCCCTGGGCCAGTAGAGCTACCAGGAAGAACCTCTCTGCCCTTGCAGGTGTGCTGCAGCCCTGGCCCCTACCCCCAGCAGCACTTGGCTCTGATCAGGTGCCCCAGGGGCTTCCTGGGGTCCTGTGAGTAGGCCCCTGTTCCCGGAAGTTAGCCTAGCTAGCTGGTCATTCGGGCCAGCAGTGTCCTGATGAGCCACTAGAACAAGGCTAATGGCCCCTTCGAAAGACTTGGGCAGTTAGGGTCTATGGCAGGGGTCAGGGCTTCTAAGGTGCAAAGGAAGAAAGTGGAGATGGGCAGGTGGCAGAAAGGCACAGAGTGAAAGCACACTGGACCCCGCTGTGAGTTAAAAGACTGGGCTCGGGGCCGGGGAGATGGCTCAGTAGAATAAGCGCTTCCCTGGCAAGCCCAAGGGCCTAAGTTCAATCCCAGGTTCCACCAAAAAAAAAAAAGACGGCTTGAGCCCCACTTGTCCACCCTCCGTCTCCATCACGTAACTGACACGGGGCAGACCTCTGAGCATTACTTTGGAGTGAGCGAATACCTCCTCTAGTACAGCACATTCGCAGCTGCTTCACATACAGCGTGCATCCAGCCACGGTGCGGGCACTGAACTTTCAAAGACAAAGCCTTTGTGTTCCCTGTCCTCGGAAACTTCATTCACAGGCTGTCAGTTGTCTACTGTATCAGGCACTGGGAGCACAGCAAGAGCAAGTGGACATGGTTGTGCCCGGACGGAGCTCACGGACTCCTGAGAAACAGCAGCATGATCAGGAATCGCAGTAACAAGCACTAAGGGTTGAGGCAGCACACTGGCAGCGTGGAAAGGAGTCGGAAAAGCACCCTTGGTACGGGTGGCTCAGTGTAACAGGGCTTCCTAGAGGCAGACTCGCTGCAAGACATACAAATGCACGAGAATTCCCAAGTCAGGTGTGAGTGTGAAGGGGCTGACTGGAGTGCGCTGGAGATCAAGGGATCCAGTTAGAGGCCTAGAGCTCGGTGGAGGCCTGTGTGAATCGGCCTCAGGAGACAAGGGTCTGTGCTAAAGGCTGAAGAGGCTACACCAGAAGCCAGGAAACGACTCCAAGGTGACAGTAAAGACAAGCTCCTCCCGAATGGGAGCAAGCCTTCTTTGTTTCCCTTTTAGTCCATGCAGGCAGCAAGCCTGTGAGCCTTTTGGTTGCTGTCACCCATACCCAGTCTTCAGTAAATCCCTTTGGCCACATCTAGAGCTATGCTGATCCCACTGAGTTGGGCATTTCTTAGTCAAATTGACACAGTTAACTACCACCCTGAGCTAAGATCCAGAGGATGAGGAGACACTAGGTAGACAAAGTAGTTAGAAAGTTCACTCTCAATAGCAGCTACATGTGCAAAAGCCCTGTGGTGAGACGTAATGAATCTGAAAAACCATCGGGGCAAGATTTGCACATTAATTATCTGGATGCAGTGTGTGTGGATACCAGACCCAAAGGAGCAGGAGCATGTAGGGAAACTCAAGACAGCTGTTATAATGGTCCAGGCCAAGGATGTGGCAGGAGTAGCCTCAGAGATGGGAAAGCCTTCCTTTAGAGTGGGAGTGCTGCAGAGCAGTTTTCAAGGAGGGCTCTGAGGTTTTTGCTGGCTTGTAGAACTGGTAGTCCTGTCCCCTGAGGGAGAAGATGCTCTTAGTGGGTTGCCATAGAGATTCCAGGAGATGGTAAGTGAGGCCTGAAACTCAGGTCAGAAGTGAGTGAATTTGATGGTAACAAGCCTCCGCTAAGAAGAATGAGAAAAGAAGCTACAGAGTAGATCCTTGAGGCCCAGCTCATGGAAAGTGTTGGAAAGCACAGCATGAGCGGTAGGAAGAGGATCATGGGAATGTAGGGCCCAAGATCAAGGGCAGACATTGTTTTGAGGGGGACCCACGAGATGTGCTGTGAAATTCAGTCCTGAATGCTGAGATGGGATGCAGCAGGGGTGTTGGGCCACTCCCAAATGGAATGAACAGGAAGGGCCGCCTCTGAATGGTCACTGGTCCCAAAAGGACACATCTGATCTGCCAGGCAGAAATAAGAGGCTGGTGGTGGCTGGGTACTGTAAGAGGAACAACCAGGAAGCAGTCAGTTTAGGAAAAGTCTGTACTCTGGTGAAAGTATTGAATTGTAAGCCAGAAGGAAGACAAAGTTGTGGACCAGCTAAAATAAAGTTGAGTTCTAGGCTCTCTTAGTCCCTTCAGGTTGCTGTAACAAAATACCATAGCCTGAGTAGTTTAAATAGTAAACATTTATTTCTTACTGTTCTGGAGGCTGGGAGGTCCCTGGCACATAGGTTCCTGGTCAGCGTGCTATTTCTGCCTTGCACACTCTCTTGCTTTATTTGTGACAGAGGGAAAGAGAGACAAGTTCTTGCGTCTCGTTAGGGCACCAGTCCTACTCGTAGGGGCTCCAGCTTCCTGGCTAATTACTTCCTAAAGGCACCACATTCAGATCACATGACACTGTGGATTAAGACTCAAAGTAACCTCTCGGTGGCACATGCCTATCACCCATCCCAGCACCCTGGGAGGCTGAGGCAGGAGGATCGCAAATTCCAACCCTGCCTGGGCAACTTAGTGAATTACTGAGACCCTGTTGCTTGGCGTGAAGGCCCTGGGTTCAACCCCAGTAGAAAAAAAAAAAAAAAAAAAACCTTCAGTGTATGAATTTTAGGGAGCTCCCCAGGCTAAGAAGATCATGTTTTCTTTGATAAGAAGTAGAGCGGTTGCTGAGTCTTGGCCAGAACGACAAGCCTGCCTCAGCCCACTGCTCTCCACGCCAGCCTACTAGTCGCTCTGAGCCAACTAAGAACACTGAAAGCTCAAGAGATCCCCCTGCTTCCTCTTATGGCCCCCACTAAAACCCCAGCCACACCCCCGCAGCGCTGGAGCTGGAACGCAGGGCCTCGGGCCTCCTAAACAAGTGCTCTGCCACTGAGCTGCACCCTGCGACTGCCTGTCCCATCCGCTCTTCCCCAGGTCTGCGCCGGCACCCCCATCCCGTGACTGCGCTCCTTCTGGGCCAGAGCAGCCATCCGGTGGCCCGCGGTCAGCAGTTCTGCTTCAAGAAGGTCCCAGTTTCCAAGCTAAAAATCAAAATCAGGCCTGAGCTATCCTTTAAGACTTCTACTCAATTTTTCATCTCTCTCTAATTAAATCTTTTTTCCTACAGGACCAATATTCAAAACTTGAATGTTCATTTTACTCCATCTCTATATTGTTTAGAAGTCTGTCATAAATGTTGTCCTTCAGGTTAATGTCAGGCCAGCAAACACTACTGAGTCCTAACTGGAGACTGTAGGGAACAGAAAAATGAAAAGACAGTTCTTTTAGGACCATCCACACTTGGAAAGGAGGTTGATACGAACATTAGAAAGCAAAGTATAAGTAAAGAAGTGAGATGCTTTTTCAAGAAATTTGTCAGTATTGGGGACTAGCCAAATAGCTCAGTGGATTAAAGCGCCTGCAAGCAGGCGCAGGGGCAGGGAGTTCGATCCCAGGGCCTGTTGTGCTGGCCTCACCCCCACTGGGGTGCGCTGCGATGGCGATTGAGACTGGGCATGGTGGTGCACTTCTGTAATCCCAGCTCTTGGGAGGCTGTAAACAGGCAGATCACTACGAGTCAGATCTAGTATTGAGACCATGAACACCCTGTAGACC